TTAACCAATGTCATAAAACAATATGTGTACTACTGTTTCACGAGAAACTATTTGTTCTGTAAGCCTTCACCTGAAGTACAATAAAATAAAATAAAGCAAAAAAAAAAAAAAAGTTAAACGAGTACAAAACTGAGGAAAGACAAGTATATCTAACAAGTTTTATTGAGGAATCCAAGGAAATAAAAATTCCTTAATACCTGGAGCCCAAATGCTGCTAAAGTCCTTTTCGTCCTCTCCTTGTAAAAAAAAATAATCAACTCAAGTCAATATATCTGCCTGACTCTTACAGAATTAGGAACCCCTTTCTGGTATCTGCTCCAAAGCATTCCATGACACAGACCACATTATCCCTAAGGACCATGTCCGGTATTTGACCTTAGTACATCCAGAGTGTTCCACACACAGGGGCCAAGACATGTGAAAACTGCATTGCATTATGCAGCTTTTCTATCCGGCCTCTTGTTTATTTCATATTACTTCAGCTTACGTCTTAAATGTACTGCTTCACTCCTTTCCAGGTGAGGGACATCTGAGACATCAACTCTACCAATTAACCCACATAGTGCTGTCACAATTACAAGAGGTCTCTTTTAGAATTCGTTCCTAATTATATACTACGTCTGGGGAATATATAATTTTTCTAAGTATAATTTGATAAGCAAGTCTTTTAAAACATTTTCATAAATTATATAATTTTAAATTGTCTAAATATGTAGAAATTTTTAGCATATCTCATCTGAAAATATTTTATAGAACATAAATTTAAACTATAAACAGTGTCTGAAAATCATGCAAATCCTTATTAAATACATATATAGGTCTGCATGGACCATACAGTCATAGCTACAAATGAAATGTTAAGCCTTTTTTGAATGAAATCCATTTTTCCATTTTTAAGGTGATTTTTAGTCCAACTATTCTGGAACAAAGGAAAATAGATACGATCAGGGCCACAAAAGATGGATCCTGATAGAATGGGAGAAAAATGTGGAACAGAACCTCAAATTCCTAAAGGAAAAAAAAAAATGACTTACTGGACTGGTGGAGACTGGAGGACTCCCCAAGACTATTAACCTGAGATACTCTAAACTTTGAACCAAAACTACCCCGAGGTCACCTTTTATCTAAATAACAGACTGGCTCACAAAATACAGAATACCATCACAGTGAGTACTTTTTTAATAAATTTTTTAACTTCCTCTGTATTGTGTGTCAACCTTCCCTTCACCTAAGATGATTCTTGTCTACTATCTAGTTAGTGAATTCCCTTTCCCTCCCTCCCCACCCTCATAACTATTAAAGAATGTTTTATTCTATGTTTAAACCTTTTCTTGAGTTCTTATAATAGTAGTGTCATACAATATTTGTCCTTTTGTGATTGACCAGTACTGTGTTCCTTAAAAAAATAATCTATATGAGACCAAACAGTCAACAATTACTTTAAACAAAGGTGAGAATGTAAGGGGGCAGGGAAACTAGATTAATGGAGATGAAACAACCAGAACAGAGATAATGAGAATGTTCACACATTATGAAGAAAGTAACTAATGTCACAGAACAATCTGTGTACAAATTGTTGAATGGAAACCTGAACTGCTGTGTAAACCTTTACCAAAAACATATTTTTTAAAAAATTAAATAAATAAAATTTAAGTACATTTCATATTTAAAAAAGGAAAATGGATAATATGACTTGGGCTCAAGCGAAACACAGACTTGCCTTCAAATTACAGCTCTACATTTGGGCATAGTACCTAATCTCTTTGAGCCTCAGTTTCTATGACTGTAAGATGGGAATCATTCGTAAGAGTGTCTACCATAGCATTGTTTTTGTGAAGATAAGCACAGTTATGCACGTAAAGCCATTAATAATAAGTACTTGAAAATATTAGGACTACATTATGAAGATAATGATAACATGTTAACTATAAACTAATCTTTTAATTTTATTTTTAAAAGTTTAATTTAAAGAGAACAAAAGTGAAGATTTTCTTTGAAGAGCATTTTTACTTAATTATATGAAAGTTATATTATCATTTTTGTAAATGTCCAAAATTGTTGTATGTAGCAGTAATTTAATATGCCCATTTATGCCAGTATTTCTATGTGTTTATTATTATAGACCCTGTATATATCAAGTATTTCATATCTTTTCACGTTTTCTACTATTGGGAAATTTCAACCAGTGACTTGAAGTTTTGTCTTCTGTTGTTTTGTTTGTTTTAGTCATTGTCTTAGTTATCTAGTGCTCCTATAACAGAAATATCACAAGTGGGTGGCTTTCACAAACAGAAATTTATTTTTTCACAGTATAGGAGGCTAGAAGTCTGAATTTAGGGTGCCGTCTCTAGGGGAAGGCTTTCGCTCTCTATTGGCTCTGGACGAAGGTCCTTGAGTCTTTGAGTTTCTGCTCCTGGGCAATCTTTGTGTGGCTTGGCATCTCTCTTCCCCCATCTCTGCTTTTCTCATGCATTGTTTAATCTCTTTTATATCTCGAAAGAGACTGACTCAAGACATATCCTACATTAATCCTGTCTCATTAATATAATAAAGACAAGTCATTCCCAAATGGGATTATAACCACAGGCATAGATATTAGGATTTACAACACGTTTTTGGGGGACACATTCAATCCATAACAGTCACAGTCATTTTTAGAAAAGACCATCACATTCACTACTAAACATTACTAGCATCAGCAACCTCTACTCCTTTTTAAATAAGAAAAAATAAAAAATCATTCAATACTGGATGGAGGATGTTTTGAATTATGACCTGTAGTTTCCAATCTCCAACCTCGCCACTATTGACATTTTGGGCTGGATAATTCTTTATTGTGGGGGACCATCCTGCACATTATAGGATATTTAGCACTATCCCTGTCCTCTACCCCGTAGATGCCACCAGCACTACCACCCCTACATGTGACAATCAACAATGTCTCCAGACATTTGCCAAACGTCCCCTAGAGGGTACCATTACCTCCAAGGGGTACCACTGACTTACATCTGTGCTTTTACACGTTAATCTCTTCCTAAAACAGCACCTACTTTTCCCCTTCATCCTATCCTGGAATTTCTCCATTTGGCTAACTCTTTCATGAATCTGAAACTCCAGCTTGAGTGTCATCTTTTCCATGAAGTCCTCCTGACTCCTTCCAAGTGAGGGAATAACTGACCTTTTTCTGGGTACCCTGAGTGCTCCGCACTTAATCCAATCATAGCACTTTATATAAATGGTTGATATTGCTTATCTTCCCTATCAGAATGCCAGCTCTGTGAACGCAGTGACTCAGCCTCTGGCTACCGTGTCTCCAGTACCTAGTACAACATATCTAACAAAGCGGGTGCTCAAAAAGTGATTAGGAAACTAACAGATGACAGGTAAACATAAATATTCTATAATAATCAAGACAGTTAAGAAAAAGTCACACGAACAGTTCAGTTCAATGCTCTCAGGTATTATAATCACTTTATAACCTCATGTTCCACCAGAAGTCACAGCCAATTTTCACTGAAAAAAGGACGTAAAACAGGTAGAAAATGAAGAATCGAGACGCTAACTCACAGCTTGTAAGTACCGGAAAGATAAGATGGGACCACTTAGTGCCCCGCAGGCATTGCTGTCTTCAAAGTCTCCTTCTTCAAGCAGGAATTGCTGGCCTTTAAAATGTTCTTTTTCATAGGCAACCCACCTAGAAATAGGGAGGACATCCAATTGAACCATTAATAAAACCGCAGTCAAGAAAGCGAAAGAGAGAAAACTATGATAAAGCACCTGGTTGTTCACCACCATATTCTACAAAGCAATGCATTTGTTTGGTTTTCATTCACGGAGACAGACAGTACGTGCTTCATGGATCAATAATTTTATAGTTTGGAAGCCTTTCCCAACTACAGGTTATCTGCAGAATTGCAACAGAGCAAATGTGGCATAATGTGATATCACATCTCAATGTGGTCCGAGCATAGTTTGCCAAGTAAAAATCATGGAAAGCACACACAACCAAGGAGAAAAGTTACACACTCCCATCGAGATCCATAGATAATCTTTCTTATTTTACTGATTAAGCCCTTCTGTAATCACTCCATTAAACTATATTAAACATTTATTCAGGGTTTAAATCAAGGGACCCTCTCATCAGGCTTCAAATCTAAAACACATTACAGACAGGCTTATAAGAGGAACTACGAAATGCTACAGCTAGTGTTAATCCTGGTGCCCTACATGTAAGCAAAGACAACCATAAATATTTACGGATGGGAAATGCTGGTCATACCATTTCATCAGTGGTGTTAATGGAGACATGAAGCACTGAGACAGAGCACTTTTTAGGAACACAGGTTTCTTGACTTCTAATCTAAAACTATCAGTACAGGCCACTGATAAACACCATTAGTTACTGAACTCTTCCATGAAATTTATGGAGTGACGCACAGTATCCAATGTACCGTGGGAACAGATAGCTAATAAGGCAGGCTTAAATCTGCCTACTTTCCTTCCACCTCTCTGTGTAGTTGGGACAGAAACCCCTCCAACTGGGCAGATTTCAAGGATGACTATTCTGAGCTCCTGGGTTGGAGGCTTCTGAACTCTAGAACCTAACAAAATGAAGTCTAGTGGCTGACTACTACTGTTTTTCCCTTCTCCACCCCTACTATAGTTGTTAAGGTATAAAATATATTCCAAAGACTTGTTTTCATAGGGCACAAAATAACAATAGTCACTCAGTAATCATGAACTCTCTGTATGCAGGTGTGTGTATGGTGGAGGAAAAAGCGAACTACATGAGCTGGAATAAACAAACTTTATACATCTTAGTATATTTGCAATATGTAAAGAAACCAACATTATTTTATTTTAAACTATTACTTATGTAAAAATAAACTTCACAAGAAAACTTACAAATTCTAAGTTTATTTTAAATAAAGGTGGCTACTTGAAACATACTTTTAATATACCTATATGGAAAAAAGAATAAAAAGTATAAAAGCCCTTACTGTTAAAGGATAAATTTTACCAATTGTTACTGAGTCAATTCTGACTCATAGTGACCTCACATATGTCAGAGAAGACTTGTGCTCCCTAGGGTTTTCAAAGGCTGGTTTTTCAGAAGCAGACTGCCAGGCCTTTCTTCCAAGTCACCTCTGAATGGACTCAAACCTCTAGCTTTTCAGTTAACAGCTGAGTGTGTTACCTGTCTGTACCACCCAGGGTCTCCAAAAAGGATAGTTCAGCAATTCTATTATATGATGGGAGTACCAAAATTTTCTGCCCAGTTTTCCTTACTAAAGTTTTGATTAATATTCAATTTATATATCCATATGGCATATGTAAAAATAGGTATCTGAGAAAGATTTAAAAAATTCACTTTCCCCAGATTCTTCAAGCTTAGACAGGGATGAAGAGTCGATATGACCTACAGATAGCTAAACACCTAACAAAAGTGAAAAATGGTAGAAATGGTGAAAAACTAATGAAGTCAGTTGTATATCTTTAAATGGAGGATAAATAGGGTTATTATATTCTTCTCCTACAGTTGTCATCTAAAAATGAGAAGTGTGCATACTGTATTACATGTCATAATATTTTCATCAGATTTTTATAAAATAGTTGCCCCCAAAATTCTAGATTTTAGCATATAATTTTCTATGCAGCAGAAACTAGTTTTAAATCGATCCAGTTAATGTGAAAAACATTCATATTTTAAAAGAGGGAAAAGGCAAAAATATTTTATACTAGGATTAGCAAAGAAGTATGCGTGTTCACAAACTAGAAACCATCACAAATAAATACAATCAAAATGTTTATTCAAAGCAGATCTGGTCTTCAAGTCCCCAAATAAGTTCTTAAAATTCAAGGATGAAGAATTAAATAATTACCAATATAATTTTATCTTGCAATTCTTGTCTTCTATATTGTGTTTAGAAATTCTAAGGGTGGAGGTTTTATAAACTAGTTTCTACATTTAATCCATCTCAAAATCTCTGATACCAACAAGCATTCACAGAAAGCCAGGGGTAAAAAATACCTTTTGCCTCCTATATTACATAAGATTGTGTATTTTCAGATTCAGGCAGATTGTGTTGCTCTGCTTAACCCGTTTTTTTGGGTTAATCTTTAAAAACAGACTACTAAGTAAAATACTGAAAATATGACACTCACACGCCACCGATGACACGAATTGATCCAATTCCATGAAAATCCCTGTCGTTTTTTAAAAAATTAGGAATAGAATCTATATGTTCACTAAAATCTTTGGCCTGTCCAAAGAAGTGAGGTTTTTCATAAATAATAACCTGAAAAATATGAACGAAAATTACTTAACGAGCTCATATTTTATAAAAGATACATACTGACTTACTTTAGTTTCACTAGCGACCACAATATGAATAGGAACCACTGTCTATTTTTTTTCATTAGTACATACTTACAATTTAGCACAGTATTCGGATACAGTACATAAGGAATATTTGAGTCTTTATCATCATAAAGGTGGACTATCTTAATTAATAATATATTTCTCCAATATTAATAAATTCAAGTAAGATTGGGTAAACTGTCTTATAACTTGTTGTTGAATTATCTTTGTAAGTTCATCCCTGTGTTTGGAATTTAATACACATCTGCCTTATAGTTATTGAGTTTCCCACTATAAGAAAAAAAACTCTCTTGAGAATCTAAGGCATAACAATACATTATCTACTAACTTGAGAAAACACACGCTGTTTCTTTTAACACTAACTGCTTCTGTGGTTGTTACTACTGAGAAGAAAAAGACATTCAAATTCTTGAATTTAAATAGAAAACCCACTGAAATGAGAAATGACTGAGAAAAATATGTTTTTTTAAATTGGATATTGGATCAAAATGGGCTTTTCTGGGGAGGAGGGAAAGGTAATTGTAGTAGAAAACAGTAAATTTCATTGGTACAAGGATTTCTCCTCTACTATTTTGCTGCTCTTTATGTCCCAAGTACAAGCTGCCCTTGGTGTATGAAAGTGGTAACAGTGCTAGCCTATCCACATTCTTTCCCCGGTCCTATTTGTGGCTAATGGCATAATTTGTGCACTACTGACAACTCATGACCTAGACCAATAGGACCCCATGCTTAAACATACCGGCCCAACAAGCTATAGCTTCCTTATTTATAAAAACTGACAACAGATTATACAGACTGAAATCAATATACAGTATTCCCCCTGCTGTTTGTTACATATTAGATTTTCACTGGGTGCTATACTTGAAGTGATGAAGTTTTATTTGGGTTTTATACATGCTACATATTCTGGAGACATTCAAACTAAGTAAGAAGCAATCATTCTTCTATAAGTCAGAAATTAATATCTAGCAACTTGAAAATTGTGATTATCTATGGCAACCATTCCATACATATACATCTGCAACCTGTCAAACTGCAAATGTCCAAAGAAGACTCGGCCTGCTGCACAGTCAAGAAACTAAAGAGCAAGAACCTCTTGTTCCGATTCAGCACACTAGGAGACTGATACAAGAGTCACTTGGAGCATCACAGCTAATTCTGCATCTATTAGATCAGTGGTTCTCAACCTTGGCTGCATGTTAGTTAGATTCACCTATTACCAGGCCACGCCCAGATCAAAATAATTTCTAGGAGTGGAACCCAGGCATAAATCTTTTTTGAAACTTAGACATGTATGATTCCAACACACAGCCGAGGTATATTAGATATACTTAGATACACAAGTTTTAAAAAGACTCCATCTGTGATTGAGAGATTGTGACTGGCAGTCAGTTCCATAAGTGAGGAAGCCCAGAAATGGGAGGGTTGGAGAAGCTGTGTCTTGTTTTGAAGGAAAGGAGAAGCATGAATCCCAATGTCTGCATACTTGCCTCTGGAGGTGCTGTAACTCAATTACACAGAGGTCTGTTTGCATTTTTGATCCTATCTCTATTTACACCCATTTACTAACTCTGTGTCCTCCTTTCTTTCCTAAAATGTGCTTAATCAGGGTACCTCCACACCAGTTTTCATTGCCTCTACTCTTCCATTCAGATACTCGTATTTACAAACTGACATCTATCGGATAAGAGCTGCCAGCACCTCCTTTTCATCAGCCTTGATGTCCTTCCTGGGCATAACTCCCAAATGCCTCACAGATATCTCCATGTGAATGGCTATCTGCCATTTTAAGCCCAACAAAACAAAAACCAATCTATCACCTTTCCTCCTTATAGGATACACTACCTGGGTTTGCCTGGGTTGTCCATACAGATTTCCACCTTTCCATACTGACCTCCCCTCTACTCCCCGTTCACAGCCCCAAGATGGGCCCTCAGCATCCATTCTGTGCAATCACTTCCCAACACCCCAACGTCCATGAGCTAAGTATTATTTCCATATAGTAGGTACATTTTTTTAAATTTTAATGGTTAAATACCTAAAAATTAATAGTAAAGATTTTTAGCCTGCCATGAAAGTCTATTTAAGACTTACCTTTAGGTTCATAGGCATTTCCACTTTCAGTCCACCCTTAAGATGACAAGAAATTTTAATATTAGGTATTAAATATTTTAAATATTTGAAAGCAACTAAGTTAGATGTGTAGGTAATAAAAATACGACATTAGTGACAACTACATACCTGACCTGTCAAATTTAAGTTTTAAGTACAGAACTATAGAGCAGTCACAACCAAGTCAAACCGCTCTATGTGAATCCAAGTGTACAGAGGCAAGAAATCCTACAAGATATTTTCCAGCTTACAACTACTACAAGGAAGGAAATCAAGCTTTAGTCCTTGAGTGTTAAGGGACCAATAAAAGATTTAATCCCATTCTAGAGTGTACTAAAAAGAAGAGTAGATTTACTAATAAATTTAGAAACCTCATCTGGTAGAGTACACTTTAAGTCACTTAGTACCAAATGTTTTTTCTACACTGGAGAAGTAGCACAAAGCTAACCAACCTTCCCCTTCCCACTTTTACCAGTGGTTATCACACTTAATGTCTTTGAGACCTCAAAATTGTAGAGCATAAAAAGCAGCCCATCCTCACAAAAATCCTAATTCTATAATACCCTTGTTTAAATGCTATTCCACATTGTGGTATTTCTTAAAATTTTCTTAAAATTTCTCATTCTTCCTTACATTTTTTAAAAAGGCACAGAATGATCAAAAATAGTTTATCATATGTGATGGCTAAGGTTATGTGTGAACTTGGTTAGGCCATGATTCTCAGTGGTTTGGCAGATATTATGTAATTATCCTGCATTTTGTGATCTGGTGTGAGCAGCCAATCAGTTGGAAGGGGAGTTTACTTGGGGGTGTGGTCTGTATCCAATATATATGGATGTTCTGGCAAAGCTCACTTTCAGTCCTGCATCTGACTTGTCATCCTCTGATCTCCAGTTCTTGTAATGTGAGCCAGCAGCCTGCCACCTGATCTACAGATTGGGGGATTCACCAGCCCCTGCAAGCAAATGAGTCAGGAGAAGCCTCCAGCCTGATGCCTGACCCATGGATGTGGGACTTTTGCCAGCCTCCACAACTGTGCGAGCCATCTCCTTGAAATAAATCTCTATATATATATTTATGGAGCCATGCTGGCACAGCAGTTAAGCTTGGCTTCTAACCAAAAGGTCAGGAGTTCAAATCCACCAGCTGCTCCTTGGAAATCCTATGGGGCAGTTCTACTCTGTCCTACAGGGTCACTATGAGACACAATTGACTCGACAGCAATGAGTTTTTTACGGGTTATATATATTTATACATATGCTTCACTGGTTTAGCTCCTCTAGAGAACCCAGTCTAAGACATTTGGTACTGGGAGAGGGGATCTTCATGTACCTACAATGTGAAAGTAGCTGTGGAATTGGGTAATGCGTGGAGGCTGGAAGAGTTTTAAGATGCCTAATAGTAACAGCCTACATTGCCCTGAGGAGACTACTGATGGAATTATGGACTGTCAAAGGCAATTCTGGTGAGGGATCAAAAGAAAGTGAGGAAAGCTATAGAGAGTGTCTGTCATCTTAGAGAATACATATGGCACCAGCAACAGAATGTTGCTAGAACAGTGGACATTAAATGTGCTTCTGGTGAAGCTTTAAAAGAAAATGATGAATATATGATTGGGCAATGGAGGAAGGGCGATGCTTTTTATGCAGTGGCAAAGAACTTGTCTAAATTATGTTCAAATGTTTGGTGAAAGGTAGTACTTGTAAGTAATAAACTTGGATATGTAGTGGAGGAGATTTCTAAGCAAGATCTTAAAGGGGCTGTGTGGTTTCTCCTTGCCGCTCCAAGTAAAATGTAAGAGGAAAGAAACGGGCTTAAAAATGAACTGCGCAAAATAAAAACAAAGCTTAAAGATTTGGAAAATTCTGTTGTACAAACTAAGGACACGTGTCCTAGAATGTTCACCAAGGATGTGGCTACACAATCTTTTGTTAAAGAGACTGAGCCTTTGACTGATGGATCTAACCACCTATCACAGCAGAAAACCCATCAGCTTAGACTGAAGAGGACAGAGAAAGAATGAAGGAAAAGAATGCTGTCTGCTTCTTGGAATTGTACAGGCGGGAAATAGGCCAAAGGAGCTACATCTGCTGTCCTCCAAGAATGGAAAGGGACCACCCCTGGAGCAGCTCAAAGATCAGCAGAACTGTTGGAAGGAGCAGGGGAAGCAGGGCTGCCTTGGTTACAAAGGGTGGGGCCACAGCCTCTGAGGTCTCAAAGGGTAGAGCCAATGGCCTCCCAGGTTTCAAAAAGTCAGATCTTCACCAACTCGGTTCCAGAGTGTGGGGCTGCCATTCAGTTTGGCCAAGTTAATGAGGCCACTATCCAAAGCTGAGAGGGCAGGGTTTCCATGCTCAAGGGGCAGAAAAATGGGGCCTGCCCAGGTTGACTGTGTAGGGTTGCCATTTAGATGGACTATGAGAATGGGGTCACCCAAAGCCCAGGAGTACAGCTGCCATCCCAGCGGGTGTAGAAGGTGGGGCTGAAGCCCAGGGCCCAGGGGCCCCTACCCAGAGTCTGGAAGGCAGGGCCATTGCCCAGATGGTCTCAGAGAACAGAGGATTATTTTCAAGCCTTGAGATCTAATGTAAATTTTTCTGATGGGTTTTGGACTTGTTTGGTGCCAGTTATCCCTTCTTTCCCTCCAATTTTTCCCACTTGCAATGGAAATGTCTACCTTGTTCCTGTTCCAACATTATACTTTGGAAACAGATAATTTGTAATCTAAATTTCTCGGGTTCACAGACAAAGAAGAACTCTGCTCCAAGATGGAATATGCCTAAAATCTCACCCATATTTGATTTTGACGATTCAGAAGACGAGATTTTGGACTTGGAGTTGATTTTAAACTTCTGGGATGATGTGATGGGGTGAATGTGTTTTGCATGTGGAAAGGACATGAATTTTGGGGGCCAAAGGGTAGACTGTTATAGATTGAACTGTGTCCCCCACAAATATGTGTTGTAAATCCAAACTTCTATGCCTGTGGTTATAATCCCATTTGGGAAAGAGTCTCTGTTGTTAATGAGGCAGGACTAGTGTAGGGTGTGCCTTGAGTCAATCTCTTATAAGAATTAAAAAAGCAGATTAGGCAAGCAGAGGTGGGGAAAGAGAGATGCTAAGCCACATGAAGTTCATGCAGGAGCAGATAAGGACCTTCCTCCAGAGCTAACAGAGACAGAAAGCCTTCCCCTACAGCCTGCACCGTGAATTCAGGATTCTAGCCTCCTACACTGTAAGAAAATAAATTTCTGTTCGTTAAAGTCACTCATCTGTGGTGTTTCTGTTATAGCAGCACTAGTAACTAAGACATCACATTAAAAAAAAAAAAAAAAAAACCCAACCTGTTGCCATCAAGTTGATTTTGACTCATAGTGACCCTACAGGACAGAGCAGAACTGCCCCATAGGTTTCCAAGGAGTGGCTGGTGGATTTAAACTGCCAACCTTTTGGTTAGTAGCCGAGCTCTTAACCACTGTGCCACCAGGGCACAGACATCCAATTAGCTAACATTTAATTGAATAGTCTGCCCTTCAAGTAAAAAAGTCTGCTGTAACACAACAGCAAAAAATACCATAAGCACATATTACCTTTAAACGAAAGTAAGCATTGGCAGAACTGTCCACTTATAATTAATGCTTAGCTGATCATTCACTACTACAATGGAAGAACATAATTCACTATAACCAATTATACAACAGACGTCAAAAAACAAATTTGGAACTTAATTAAATATTTAAAATGTTTACAGAACAATATCTGTAAGGAAACTTAAGTATTGTGATTGACTGGGCATAATACAAAGTAAATCCAGACATATGCCTTCTAGATAGTCAAACACAGAAATATTTTCACAGACATATTCTCTACAGTATAAAGAAACAAAAACAATATATAAATAGCTTGCCAATTCAGTAGTGTATATTCATTTCTTAAGATTGAGATGAATGAGAAATCACCACAGCAATTTAATTTTGGGTTCATGGGTATTTGAGAGAAGGAATTCATTGGAATTTTTTATTTATTTATTTTTTTGGGAATCCTTCATTTTTAAATTTGCTTACCATTTGAAGTGGATGTAATGATTTCATTTCAGTTGCAGAAATTTCAAAGAGGCCACAGTCTTCCTCTAAAACTGTAGCTTGCCCCTTAAAATTAATATCTGGGTAGGCAAGCCAACTAAATAAGAAACAAATGGTTAGTTAAAGTATAACAGTGGTGCTTTAATCTAGTTATCTAAGAGTTAAAAGTAAAAAGGGATACCAAAAAAAAAAAAAAATCCCAGTCATAGAATTATACTAGCAAAACACTAGCAAAACACAATCCAAAATGACTTCGCCAGACAGCATATAACAACAAAAGTTAACATGCTATTAAGTACTTACATTCAAACACTAACTATCCTATAAATTTAATATGCTTCTCAAGCTCTAGGCATTGCTGTTCTTAGAATTTTCCAGCGCCTAAAAGTTGTGAAACCTTTAATTCAAGCAGGTTATTAACTGAAAAATCAAAATCATTCCACTATATTCCACTCTTTTTAAAATTGGGCAATTAGAGGTAGGGATTCCATTAGGCATTCTGTATCACTGATCCACATTTTCAGAATTGATATCAGTTCTAGTTGCTGCCCCAGGAACAGTGTTTTGAAATAAGAGTCTCAAAAGTTCCTTCTCGCTTTCAGCTAAACTTGATAATTACAAACATTTCTCATGGACAGGGTCAATTACTAGGTCTCCCCAAGAGTTCTAATGTATGGTTGGGAGAGATGAATAAAGACGTCTGACAGTGATCAAAAAATTCAACATCAACCATCAGAGCAGATAAAAATAGTGGAAGAGAGAAAAGCAGTCACAGGCTTTTGTGACTCAAGTCATTTGGGGACTAAACCAAGACTGTGCTGAGTTAGACCCATAGTCCTAAAGATACCTTTGGAATCACAGAGGCCTGGGATCAAATCCATACTTACTAGCTGGTAGCCTGAGGCAAATTACTGAATTTCCTCATCTATAACATGAGGGTAACACCACCCGTCTTGCAGGAATAGAGGAGTAATAAACACAAAAGCACCATGTGCTCAGCACTAAATGAGCACTCAGTAACAGTCAGCACTTGGAGCCCTGTGGTACAGTGGTTAAGAGCTCAGCTGCTAACCAAAAGGTCAGCAGTCTGAATCTGCCAGCCACTACTTGGAAACCCTACGGGGTAGTGCTACTCTGTCCTATAGAGTCACCACGAGTTGAAATTGACTCACTGGCAACAGGTTAACAGTTAGCACTTGAAATAGTTAGGCTCTAGAAATAGTTCAGGCTCCAGAATTTTAGGCCAGGGACATGTTTTTGTTTCTCAGTCCCAAAACATGATGGATGAACAGAGGATGGACGCATCTTATCAAGAACTATGTGAGAATTTTACACCTGTTCCTGTGAGTCATATATCAAAGTCCTAATTCAATCCAAAGAAAGAGAGATGCTATTTTAATCCCTGAGAAACCGTCTTTCTCTGGTATTCAGGCTTATAAATGAAATTAACTAATGAGAACTTCAGAAATACAATGTATGTCACCTATTAAATATGAAATAAAAAGTAACTTTGGAAATCATCAATCACTATTATAAAGACAAACTGGTACGTACACTCCTGACTTCACAGTGAAGGACACAGATTTGGGGATATTCAGTTCTTCCAAATTGGGGACTGCTCGCTGTATGTAGACAGGACAACATGCTGGGTCAGACTGGGAACAAAGCTCTATCTCTGGAATGCTGCAGTCCTGGAAAAAAAAAAAGAAGAAGCTGGCTTTGAAATCATCCAGAGGCAAACAGCCTTGTACTCTCAACACTCTGGACATGCAGTTACAATTATTCTCATTCTTCATTCACATTTCTTCACAATAACAACATAAAGGAAATATTGTTTCTACTTACCAGTTTCTTTTTTAAATAGAATTTTTCTAAGCAGCTGTGTTGATAACATGAAATGTTACTGATTGAAAAAGTACTACCACAATTCTTTGTTTTGGTTTTTAAAGACTCTTCCCTTAAACAACGTTCAGAGCTACAAACCCATTTGAGTGCCAAATGCCTGTAAGCCTTCCTTCTTAGAAGCAAAACAAAGCTATAAAGGAGGAAGGGAGTTAAATAAAAGCTGATCTCATGGGGGACATAAAAAATAAATAATAGAGACGCCACCCCCTCAGTGTGTTTATCTAATGCACACTGACAAAAGAAGTCAGAATTAGAGGCGAGGGTAAAGGAAATCTGTTTTCCTACTTGTGGGATTCTGGCTTTTTCTTTTTTTTTGGTGCAAGTACATTTGAAGAAGAAAGGCATCAAGAGCTGAAGTGTGTCCCTTCACTCAGCTCAGTCTTAAAAATTATGCACCCACTGTCGCCATATCCCATCAAACCTTCCTTCACAATTTCACTTGTGGGAGTCCCTGGGTAGTACCAACAGCTAATGCACTTGGCTGTTCACCCAGAGGTTGGAGATGTGAGTTCACCCAGAGGTACCTAAGAAGAAAGGCCTGGCAATCTAGTCTCAGAAAAAAGAAAACACTGTGACACCCATGGGGTTGCCATGAGTTGGTATCAACTCGACAACACCGGGTTAGTTACATCTCTTGTGATTTATTCTCACTGCCGCTGACCTTGGTCAGGCCTAGACTATGATGACAAGCCTAGTCACCACCAGCAATCAAGCGCTAGCTACTCTTCATACAGCTGGACTTGTTGAAACTCCACTTTTCACAAGGCACTACTTGGTTCAAGGTGCTAGCACACTAAATTCATATTCCTGACTGCCCTTTTACAATACGGCACCAAAACAGGGTCCACACTAACCTCCCACAACTCTGCAGCCACACTAGTCTCCATGCTATCCCCACTCCCCATTCTGGTCTCTGTACCTTTGTAGATGTTTCCTCTCTCTCAACTAAAGAGATAATTCTCTGTATTCCCATTATGAAATTCTTTTTATATTCATGCTCTAGCGCAAAAAATACCTCGTCCTTTCTGGAAAAAAACAAACCAAAGCCGTTACCGTTGATTCCCACTCACAGAAACCCGATACGACAGAGTAGAACCACCCCATAGGGCTTCCAAGGAGCAGCTGGTGGATTCAAACTGCCAACCTTTTGGTTAGCAGCCAAGCTACTAACTACTGCGCCATCCTTTCTTAAGGCTCCCATCCTTTCTTAAGCACTCCAAATCACAATTACTTCCTCCTTGTCTGAAATTACAGATGCACTTCTGTCTGAACATACAATCTATCTCAGTACTCTTGAAGTGTTTAATTAAACAACTCAAGTTTCAGTCACATAATTCTCACCTATGATGTTGTGAAACACAAATGATTAGGCTTTAATGAAAGATGTAAATGCAATAATAATCAGAGTAGCATTTATTAGAAACGAACAATTTTTTTATTACAGTAAGTTTCACAACTTTAAAACTGCAATTTTCTGATTTCTTTTAACCGTTCCCCAAACTGAGTTCTCAATCATTCTTATTAGTATGTAAGAAGCAAGCAAATTTTTGTCTTATTTTCAGAAAACTGCTTCTAAAATGTAATATATTAAAGAAGCATAACCTACAATATCCTTTAAAGAGTAAAAGTATATTTCCTTCAAGAATAGCCAGAATGTCCAGAACAGTCACCTGTTCAATGTGCAAAGCTCTTTTGTTTGCTATTAATAATAGAGTTCTAGTAACATTATTGAAAGTACTGCCATATTAATGTTCCCCCAGGGATTTGAGGTACAGTAACAGAATACATAACTAAGTGTCTCACACAAACAAGTTTCCTTTGCATTGTGTTATACAAACAATGTTTGGGTGGTGTACTTTAAAAGGGAAAAAGCTAAGAGGCATTCAATTCTACAACAACACAGAGGACACAGCATAAAAGCCAAAGCAGAATGACAGCTAAAAAGTTGAAAATAAACAAAAACGAGAATACATATGTCCTCAGCTATCCTTACTAGAATCCCAATTTCTGCTCGACTACAAAAGACTTCACTGATAAATTCTATCTTCTTCATGTTGGATATTCAAAGAAATAAAGTCTTTTCCCAAGACTTGTTTTAATATCTTAATTGTTGATGACAAAGGTAGTCAATCACTATACCTAGCAAGTGAAGGGCACTCTATAATAACCTAGTAACAAGGATCAGCTTACTCTTAGTTAAGTTTATATGGCTTCCTCCCAGACTGTTCTATCATGCTATACTTTACAAATACATCTTAACTAAATCTTCAAACTTAGACTCTTAAAGCAATTAGTAGGATTAGATAAAAGTTTTTTGTTTTGTTTTTTTTTGCCCTACTATAACATTTTCCAGCCTTAATTTCCCTGCACCGTAATTTTTTAATACATAAATAAAAGCACTAATCTTTTTCTGGGTCAAATTCAGGTTATCATATAAGCTAAAGTAAGAACGAATGGCACAGCAAAAGAAAAATAGGCAAAAGACATCAACATGCATTTCAAACAGAAAACATGCATGGCCATAAATCTTAAACCTCATTAGTAATAAGAGGAATGTAAATTACAAACTCAATAAGATACCATTTTACACCTACCAGACTGGAAAAATTGAAAAATGAGGTAAAATTAGTTAGAAAATGAATTCAGCAGTGGAGTGGAGAAAACCCCTGCACAATTATTTCAGCAAAGCTGAGGATGCACATCCCCTAAGACCTGGCAATTCTACTTCGAGATATATATCTGAGAGCAGCGGTTCTCAAAGCATGGTCCCCTGAGCACCTGCAGAGAATCACTCTGGAACATGTTAGAAATGCAAATTCTCAGGCCCCACCCCAGGCCCACTACATCAGACACTCTGAGGTTGGGGCCCAGCAATCTGCATGTTAACAGACTGTGTTTAACACCTGCAGGTGACACTGATGTATGCAAAAGTCTGGGAACCACTTAGCCAGAGAAGCTCGGGCACATGTGAACCAGGAGACATGTGCGAGAACATTCACAGCAGCATTTTCTGTAATAATTAAAAACGGAAACAACTCAAAACATCCTTTGTCAAGACAAGAGATAGATTATAGGATTTTGCTAGAATCAAATACTGTGTAGCAGAGAAACGCAGATCAAAAGTACAATGAAATATCATCTCACACCAACAAGACTAGCATTAATCCAAAAAACACAAAATAATAAATGCTGCAGAGGTTGTGGAGAGACTGGAGTACTTATACACTGTTAGTGGGACTGTAAAATGGTACAACCACTTTGGAAATTGATTTGGCGCTTATAGAAGTACCATATGATCCAGCTATCCCGCTCCTTGGGATATATCCTACAGAAATAATAGCCGTCACACGAATAGATATATGCACGCTCACGTTCACTGCAGCACTGTTCACAACAGCAAAAAGATGGAAACAACCTAGGTGCCCATCAATGGACAAATGGATAAACAAATTACGGCATATCCACACAATGGAATACTACGCAACGATAAAGAACAATGATGAAGCTGTGAAACATCTTATAACATGGAGGAATCTGGAGGGCATTATGCTGACTGAATTTAGTCAGTCACAGAAGGACAAATATTGTAGAAGACCACTATTATAAGAACTCAAGAAAAGGTTTCAACACAGAAGAAAACATTCTTTGATGGTTATGAGGGTGGGGAGGGAGGGTGAGGGTTATTCACTAACTAGATAGTAGATAAGAATTATCTTAGGTGAAGAGAAGGACAGCACACACTACAGTCAGCACAACTGGACTAAACCAAAGCTAAGAAGTTTCCTGAATACAATCAAATACTTTGAGGGACAGAGTAGCAGGGGTAGGGGTCTGTGGACCATGCTTTCAGGGGATATCTAGGTCAACTGGCATAACAAAGCTTATTAAAAAAATGTTCTGCATCCTACTTTGGTGAGTGATGTCTGGGGTCTTAAAAGCTTGCAAGTGGCCATCTAAGATGTATCAATTGGTCCCAACCCACCTGGAGTAAAGGAGAGTGAAGAACACCAAAGACTCAAGGAAAGTAGTAGCCTAAGAGACAGAAAGGGCCACATAAACCAGAAACTTCATCAGCCTGAGACCAGAAGGACTAGATGGTGCCCGGCTACCACCAGTGACCATCCAGACAGGGAACACAACAGAGAGAATCCTTGATGCAGCAGAAGAAAGATGGGGTGCAGAACTCAAATTCTAGTAAGAAGACCAGACTTAATGGTCTGAATGAGACTGGAGGAACCCCGGAAAGCATGGCCCCTGGATTCTCTCTCAGCCCAGAATTAAAACAATTTCCAAGGCCAACTCTTCAGACAGGGATTGGACTGGACTGTGGGACATAAAATGATACTCGTGAGGAGTGTGCCTCTTAACTCAAGTAGATACAAGAGACTAAACCGGCAGCTTCTGTCTGGAGGTGAGATGGGAAGGCAGAGGGTTAGGAGCTGGTTGAATGGACATGGGGAATCAGGCGTGGAAAGGAGGAGTGTGCTGTCACAGTATGGGGAGAGCAATTAGGGTCACATAACAATGTATGTATAAATTTTTGTACGGGAGACTAACCTGAATGTGTAAACTTCATTTAAACTACAACAATAAACAAAAAAATACTGTGTAGCAGTAAACATGAATGAACTTCAGATATGAGGCAACAACATGGCTGAATCTCACAAAGCAGAGCAAAGAAAGCAAGTTGTAGAAGACATAAACTTCATTTATATGAAGCTCAAAAGCAGGAAATCTAGGCAGTAACCCACAAAACAAACAACAGGAAAAACTAGGTAACTAGAAG